ATAAATGCCATGAGAAATGACATTCATGGTATAGATACGCATCTTCATGAGACTGTGTTGGTAAATTCACCCTCAGCAAATTAGCCATAAATACCTCTTCTGCAATATTGCATCTTGCACATAGACACTGTAAAATTGTATTGCTTAACCTTACTAATAAACAAAAGCTTGCAAACCGATTGCAAAAAAAAAAAAAAACGAAGTTAACTTATGTTAAGTCATTGTGAAAAAAAAAATGCAATAGGCATTTTGGTAATTAGGGCTCCATGGATGACTCATTTTGTGAATAATAATAAAAAAAAATGTCAGATAAGTTAAATAAATAAAGCTGATAAAAATGATAACAGTTCTAAGGTTCATATTGAAATATAATAGTGCTTCCAGACGCCTCTGAATGCTTTCAATTTCCTTCAGGGTCTAAAGTTAAATCAAGTAAAATGCATTTATTCTGCACAACTGCAACATAACACATGTTTACATGAACTGCAAGGAATGACCGATACTGATGGAATAATGAGACTCAAATCAAAGCATCTACTAAAGAAAACTTAACCCTCACCTGTGGAAAATGTGCCTTCAAAAGTTGGCAAATGCCTAAACGTTTTTATTTTCTGACATCTTTATGGAATAACTTACAAAGAGGAAATCATAATAATGCAATGTATGAAATTATTAAAGGCCTGTACAGTAAATGTATCTGCATTTGACCAGTGTGTGGCTAAAAATTTCTAACTGGATCTCTGCTTTCTCGTGTGATTGTTATAAATGATTGACCATCGGCACTCTTGTTCAGTAACTTTCGAGAGTTTTGAGACACGCAGATATTATTGAAAATAAGGTAAGACGGTTTCTTTTCTTGGTTGAAACGTACTGCGTTACTTTAGACCTATGAGGTTCATGGTGGTGTAAGAACATCTATTTTCATCATTATGTTCTGATCACATGAGGAACGAGGGATTTACATGACACGACACGAAACATGACTGTGGCAAATTTGAAAGAAGAAAAGAAGAAAGCATGATTAACCATTAACCACAGACGTGACAGAAAGCATGTGATGTCCTTATATATATACACAGAATTACAATCCTTCTCGTCTCAAACATTACGCTTTCCAGAAGTTTAAAAAATGGGCAACGATCAGTCGGATATCAAATGTCCTGGCTACACATCAGTGAGAGAACATAAGCAGAGGATCCTGGTGAAAAATGAAGGTGGAGATCAGTTCGTCATTAAAAAGTTCAGTGTTGGCCAGGTAAGACGGACACAATATATATATATATATGAAGAGTTCAGATGCAAAAGCCTCTAAATGCCATTTGAAATTTTCGTCTAGAATGGTCATTTTTATCAAGCTTGTATATTTAAGTTCAGTAATTTCACTTAAATGGCAATTAATAGGTAATTATCATTTCCATTTAAGTGAAATTACTGAACTTAAATATTTAAATGTATTAAAATGATCATAAAAGAGTTCCAAGAAAAAATTACATCCACAATTTGCTGCATCCAAAACATCCAAATAGCCGCGGAAACTTTAGAAAAAGAGTTTTCCACCAGCAATGGCTCGTTTTCCAATGCAAAACCCGGGGCCAATGCTGGAGCTCGACTTGGACGAGGACTGGGAGGAATTTCAGAGCTTATCCGTTTAACTAAATTCGCGAGTGTTGGGAGAGTTGCAGCTCAGACCGCGAGAGCCGTCCGTATGGCTGAAACAGCTACTGGAGTTTTATCTGCACTTTTTGTAGCTGTTGACGTCTTTTTTGTTTTCCTCGACTCCAGAGAAATCCACAAAATCCGCAAAGATTACGCTTTAAGAGAGAGTCGACGAGAGTCAAAATCCACCAGCAACCAACACACAGAAAAGCTGAAGTCTGAGACCATGAAATTTGTCACAAAAATAAAGGAGACAACAGACGAGCTTCAAGCGATCCTGGATGCACTACGAGATGCACTCAAACTGAGAAACACGTATAACTAATGATTATATGAGCTGGCAGTTTGTAATGTTCAGTATATTCTTTCATAGTAGATATATGTATTATACTAGTAGCAAAATGGTCCATATTCAGGTTTTCATAATGAAGTCACTTAATCAATATCAACATTTAGAATACATTACATGTACTTTGGGATGTGGCCTTTTTGTTTTGAAAATGTTAGCAAAAAAACGTTTCCTGTCTTTGTGAGTTGCTAAATGTAATTTTAATTCTACTGTGTTTGTATAATGCACTTGAACTGAAACAAACACATGAATGTGAACATTGCTGAAAAAATTATTGTAATGTGTCTTTAAACTTCTTTAATGTTTTTTAATGTATAACTGAACATGTCTGACATGATTCCAGCGTTTGCAGCGGCGATCACTGAATACAAGTTAAAATCAGGTGTGGTCTTGAAATAATTATAACCTGAAATAAATGTGCCACTTCAGCATATCAGAATGTAAAAAAAAAAAAAAAGTGACTTAAATCATATGTCAAGCTAAGAAAATTATACCCAAAAAGATAATTTCATGCAAAATTATGATCCGCTAAACAGGACATTTACATTTATTCATTTTGTAGACTCTTGTAAGTGACTTACAAATGAGTAATATAGTAAGCATACGCTAGAATAGGGAGATCATAAATGGGATCATTCCACAAGCAAGTAACCGTGAACAAAAATGTTGTGTACACACTTTTCCTTGTGGCAGAGTCGGAGAACTGCAGGCATTTGGATATTTAAGCACTTCTCGCCGTTCTCAAGTAAAGCATCTGGATATTTTTAACAGCATATGTTAATGACAGTAATTATAGGCAGCATTTACAAAGAGATTGTAAACAGCTGCACGTAATTTCAAGATTATTTTACTATTTATAAATTTCACGTCTGGAAGACAGATGTACACGTTTTTTTGTGAGTATGTTCATACTTTGAATCACACGTTCACACATTCGAGAAATAATCGTAAGATCCAATCTATGCAACGTATTATAAATGTCTGTTGTCTATTATAAACTTAAATTTCATCCAGGTTATTAAAGCACATCGCGCAAATATCCACTTTTGATCTTGACTCTGATCTGATCCATTACTAAAAGTGAGAACTGTGTTTTGTCAGTCCTCCGCTCAATGCGGGGAACAAACCAGTCTAATGTAATGAGGGCATTTCCAGTGTTCTTGATCTAACCGCCTACACTTCACCTGCAGTTCATTTAACCAAATATAAGTTTTATCAAATGATAAATCAATATCAACAAAAAGGATCTTAAGCTGACTAGAAAGCTTTACTCAGTAAAATAGACGATGTTTTAATCAGTGTTGTAGTACTCGAGACTCGGACTCGTCTCGGACTCGGTCTCGAGACCATATTTTAATGGTCTTGGTCTTGTCATGGACTCGTGTGCATTTGGACTCGGAATTGACTCGTACTCGAACATTTTTTTTTTTTTTTAGGACTCGGACTTATTCCCGAGTCCACTCGAGTTCAATAGGTGGTTTGCAGTCACGTGATTGTGTTGACGCGCGGAATGCAGATGGAGGGCAAGGAGTGAAGAGCGCAATGGACGAGATGGAGGAAAATCCGTACTGTACTACTTTAGACGCTATTACAAGAGAAATATATCAACAGAAAATCGAAACATTTGTTGGACGTGATCCTTAGGTTATGAAGAGGACCGATTTTCAACTGAATTGAGAGATTTGCCTGCCATCGAGGCTGTAGATATCAACTCGTCTTACAGACATACTTTGACTTTACAAAGTTCGGAAACTGGTACGTTACACTCAACTCCAGTCCTCGCGACCCACTGCTCTGCATATTGTGTATGTCTCCCTTACTTAACACACCTGATTCAGATCCTCAGCTCGTTAAGAAAGACTCTACGGCTATCCTAACAAGCTAAGGATCTGAATCAGGTGTGTTAAATAAGGGAGACATACACAATATGCAGAGCAGTGGGTCGCGAGGACTGGAGTTGAGAACCCCTGCGTTACACAAACAGCCACATAAGTGTATTTAAACACCTGAATAATGTAATTATAAGCCACATAAATAATGTATTAACTCACATTTGACGAAGTGATCACTGCACACACACACAGGCATTTTCCCATTCGGCTCCTCCCGACCACAGACGTAGGTTTGCAAGGCATTTTTCCCGGTGTTTTTCTGTCAATTTCTTGTATTTTTTCCCCTCTTATGAACAACAACTTTGGCCACACGAAAAACTCCTCGTGGTTTGATCGATTTGAGAAACCATAAACGACGCAAAACATTTTGCATTTTGAGTGTGTTATAGTGCTTCCTAAATATAGAAAATCACTTCCTGCCCTCCATTTGCATTTTGCACCATGGCAACGCAGTGGCGTGACGTCACGTGAAAACAAGCTATTCAAAATATTTTTCATGATTATTAATGTATGTTAATAAAATATTTCTTTAAATTGATTGACACGCCTAACACCACCTACTATGTGGCCTTTTTACCCTAAACTGATCATATTTTTTAAACTCTAAGTAAATTCAGTAATAAAAAAAGGATTTCTCTAAGTAAATAAAAGTAAATTAGGTAATCAACCCTCACTGGTCTCGAACTCGACTCGGACTCGACTCTCTCTGGTCTCGGTTTCGAGTGAGGTGGTCTCGACTACAACACTGGTTTTAATAGTGAACTCTGTTAGAGCTACAGTACATATGCCAATTGGCCGTTGAGTAATAAAAACACAATCTCTGTATCACTTTTACAACATTTCAAATCCTTCAGTTCTCGCCATCCTTCAAAAAGCCAAACTTATGTTGATTCTTGTTTTATTACAAGCTTTGTCAGACTCTCTTTTTACCAGCAGACTCTCTTTTCTTTCCTCAATAATAAAACAGGCAGTGAGTAGTGTCCATTTAACAGTAGAATGTTGATTAAAATTAATTTAAAAATAATTATTACAACATTCAACATTTTGTATTATTAAAATTGTATATTTGTGTTTTATAAATGTCACAACAGAAAAATGCTGTGTGTAAATATATTTATTTGAGCTGGTGTTGTTAAGCACAATTACAGGTTGCAAGATACTTTACACTCAACTTTAATTTTTCTTTAAGTATAAACCAAATTTAATTGAGGCACATATAGATGCTCACAATCATATTTCAAACAATTATTTGTAAATATATGACTAGTGCAAAACACAGGCATGAGGAGGAGAAAGAAAACACACCACCAGAATACAGAGATCCCATGAAATCAACAGACTTGGGCTTTGCTTTTTCTTTTAAATATTTACATCCTCCAATCATGATCTTCTACTTTCTATTTAACAGCAAGTATATGTTTTTTTCAGAGAACAAATGTGGATTTAAAATGTAAATGTTTGTAAAAGCCACAAATGAAATGGGTTTTGACACATATAGTGCACATTAGTATTTGAAATGCCCAAAGAACAATACATTGACAGTAAACATACTCAAATGATTATTTTAGATGATAGAAATTAATTTAATTGTACTGATATAAGCACATAATCTGATGATTAAAAAAAGCGTTTGCCAGTTAAATGGTTATGTAAGAACACACACATCTCCTTCACTCCTAATATCTGCTGCAGATGAAGTTGAGTTTTCGGTCTTCAGGAAGGCTGATCCATCTCTGATCTCCTCCAGTCTGAACTGCTCCAGATCTCCCTGTACCCTGACAGTCCTCGTCTGTGCCGTTCCCTGAAGCCCAGTTCTTATAGCACACGGTCTCTCCGCTCACCCAGTACCAGATGTCCAGAATACGGGAGTGACGTAAACCCAACCACACCGCCTCAGTAGACGCACGTTTAACCACATTCATCACACGACGCTGCGTCTCGGCTGAATAAACCAAGACCAGATCCGTATAATTCTGTCTGCAGTATCTCAGAGCTTCAGTCCACGTCAGAGTCTCATTGATCAGAATCAGTTTATCTGGACACAAAACACACCACAAGCAAACACTAGAGAGAGACTGATCAAAAACAACATGCAGAACACACACTGTCCCACATAGCAAACAGACTTGGCCCAAATGTGGCCTCATCATGGCACTGCTGGCGTGTTGCCGGCAATGGCATGCATCATGTCAGCCAACTGTGGGCCAAGTGTGGCAATGATGGCACTGCGTGCATGACGGCAGACAACTTCTGGGCCGATTGTGGATGGGAGGTGTGTGGCCCACATCTTGTCAGCCAACTGTGGGCCAAGTGTGGCAATGATGGCAGTGCATGACGGCAGACAACTTTTGGGCCGATTGTGGATGGGAGGTATGTGGCCCAGATCAGTGTAGCGATTGTGGGCCATATTCTGTGTACTGGACAATAAGCCTGCTACTATTTTTTCAAGGCAAGATTATACCCCACCCCGACCCCTCTGAAAAAGGTGTTAAGATTTTAATAATAAATAATTATAATATAAATTGACTTAAATGAGTCAGTGAAAAAATATATGTCCAATTGTTTAAAAAATGATTAATAATGAATAAATATAGTATTTAGTTTTCAGCAATGTTTACAAAATGCTGTATCATTAAAAAAATATACATTTACTAACATGATAAGTATTAGACCTATGATTTTTTTTAAGTATTAAACCTATTATTTATTTGAATGTGTTTTTTTTTTATAAATTTGTAATAAAATAAAAAATAAAAATCCACATCCAAGTCTAAGTTTTCCATACTTTTTATTTTAAGCACCACAAAATCATGTTAAAAATGTAATATCTGGATTTTTTTTTCGAAATAACAGTTTATTTAAAACAGCAGTCAACTATTGTTTTATTTCGGCGCGATCTCCATGGTAACAGCAGCTTTTCTGGTTGGTTCACGTGATGCGTCTTTTGAAATTTCTCCCGCTGAAGATTGAAGAAGAAGACGACATCTCAGACAACCGCTGTACGGGTAAGTGAAGTTCACTCTCTTTTTGGCGCTTTTTTAATACCTGATTTCAAACTCGGATGCCACTTTTTTCTTTATTGAAGTGAACTTTTCCCCTGGTAGCTGATTCAGTTGCCCCTGAACATGAGAATGCCTACAGACGCGAACGGGGTGCGATCATGTGCGATAGACCGGCCCTGCGAAATGTCGTGTGCTTCATGTGTGCGAAACAATGTAATGTTAATGCTTTTAAAATTATAGGAAGATCACAGCAAATCCAGCAACCGCAATTGACTTATAAAGCTGAAAGTGATTCAGTGGTTGTATAATTGTATGATATCTAAATCTAATCGTGGCTTGTTTCACATGAAAAGTACATGTTTTTTTTATTTGTGATCACAGACTGCTTATTTATTTTTGCTTGTCATGTATTGCTAGTCATTTCAGTATGCTATATTCGTAGGCGATTGAGAGAAAATAATAATACTGTACTATTAAAATATCTACATTGAATGAATGAAATTGATCACATAATTTTTATTTTTTGTCTAAAACAATAGTTCTCAACCTGGGTAATGTTTAGAGGTTAATTTAAATGCAATAAACAATTGGCAACTTTTCAATTTGCTAACCATTGACGCATGGCAATGTTTTTCTTCCAACATATTGGGCATTATAAGGAATGAACGACTCTATAAAGTTGTCTTTTTCCCCTCCTTTCATATTGTTTAATTATTGATGATATGTACTGTAAGTTGCTCCCCCATTCCTGTCTGTTTGTTTGAGTGGATGTTATTTTATTTCTAAAGACTATAAGGAGTTGAAACTCTGGCCTAAGGCACTCTTTCCATGATCTAACAAGATGATTAATACAAATGAGTTTTAGAGCTACATTAGTATCCTATATTGGTAAATCTGGAATAGTTGATGCATTTTCAATGTTAATTTTTTTTTTTTTTTTTTACAGGACTGGTTGGGCCAGAAAACTTGACAGACTGTTGGTATGGCTGGTAATTGGAGTTACAATGAGAGGAGCAATGTGAGAAGAAGGGCTTTTACAGGTTGTAATAAGATGTTACACTTGGAATGTACAAAATAAAATAGCCTTCACACTGTTACACAATTCTAGGTGTAATATTTATTTGTGGTATTATTGTTAAATAAAATTTTAATTGAATAAAATATAGAATTTTTCTGTGACTTATTTGTTCACATGGTTTGGGTAAGGTTAGGCTGGGATATGGTTCAGTTTGGGGGTTTGAAAAGGTGGTATTGAAACAGTTAGCTTAGAATTGGTACCAATAATAAAACCAGTTTTGGCCCAGTTCAGGGCTAGTTAAGGGTGATTTACTGGCTGAGATTCGGGCCAGTTATGGCCCATGTGTGACCCTTGTATTTAATCCAGTTCTGGGCCACTTCAGCGCCGTCATTCTTTGCGGTACTTGGGCCGAGGATTGGGTTCACATGGTTTGGGTAAGATTAGGCTGGGTTATGGCTCAGTTTTGGGGTTTCTGGTTAAAGGGTGGTGTCGATATGGTTAACGTATGGCTGAGAATTGGTACCAATAATAAAACCTGTTTTGGCCCAATTCAGGGGCAGTTAAGGGTGATTAACTGGCTGAGATTCGGGCCAGTTATGGCCCATGTGTGACCCTTGTCTTTAATCCAGTTCTGGGCCACCTCAGCGCCGTCATTCTTTGCGGTACTTGGGCCGAGGATTGGGTTCATATGGTTTGGGTAAGATTAGGCTGGGTTATGGCTCAGTTTTGGGGTTTCTGGTTAAAGAGTGGTGTCGATATGGTTAACTTATGGCTGAGAATTGGTACAAATAATAAAACCTGTTTTGGCCCAGTTCAGGGCCAGTTAAGGGTGATTAACTGGCTGAGATTCGGGCCAGTTATGGCCCATGTGTGACCCTTGTCTATAATCCAGTTCTGGGCCACTTCAGTACCGTCATTCTTTGCGGTATTTGGGCCGAGGGAAAAGTGATTGTGTGGGCCGGAGCTGGGCCAGAAAAATTTTGCTATGTGGGGTGGAGGAATCTGTCATGTCACACATGTAGCGTGAACTTTAAAGGTGCCATATGGAATAATTGAGGTAAAAACATCCAAAAAATGAGCTACACACATCAAAAGAATGAGAAGAAATAAGTGCAATGATGTCATTAAAAAACTGGCAAGTTATAGTGCTGCCGAGATATAACCTAAATTAGCATGCTAAATTACTAGCCCCGGCCCGGCAGGTGTCGTAATACCAGTTTCGGCCATGGGAGGCGGTGTGCGGGCGGGCAACATTACCACCAGCCAAACTGCAGTACACGAGTGAGTCGGCGGCTTGCGTGTACTTGAACCTGATGTCAGTCAGTCGTGTGGAAATACAGTCCACTACTACATTTCAGTTCAGGGAAGAGTTCAATAAATGATTGGTCGATATTATTCATGAGGAATACATTTTGGTAAGTTGTAACATATTGTATCTTTCAACAGTGTTCGTATTCTTTTACCATTAGCTAGTAGAGATGATCGGTTCACGTGCGCTAGGGATCTGTCGTGTAAAGCGCCAAAACTGTATTTATTGTTTGAATTGCGTAATACAACGAACAGAATCTGAGAGCTGACATCGGTCTCCGTGTCCTTTTCTGTGCATTACAAAATGGATGTGGCGTGAGAGTGTTGTGAGAGTTGGCGGCTCTGAAAGACGCTAGTTTGGTCCACATCAGGGAATGCTGTCTGTCAAATTAATTCAAACTAATGATAAAAAAATGTAACATGAACATGCACCGACTTGTGCACCGACTTGTCTATGAGACGGCCTTTATAATTTAGTATTGAGATGTTGTTCATTTAGTCTCTAATCTCTGAAAATCTCCAAATGATCCACGTGAAACTGCGGCCTTCCAACCTTTTACTATTAGTTTTACTGATTAATATGCACGAGGGAGACCCGCTCGCCCGTGTTGTTTGAAGACATGAGTGTGCGCGGCCGCGGAGGTATTTTTCTGGAGGTATACTGCCCCCATCTGGTATGGAATATGGTGTATGATTAGATTTTTTTATCCCAGAGGGATATCTGGAGGTGATGGATGGAGTGTGTGTGTGTGTGTGTGTGTGTGTGTGTGGATCTGCTCACCTTCATGACACATAAAAGTGCGTTCCTCATTGACAGAGTCGTCAAGCCATTGACCCTGAGGGTTTGATCTGAATGTTGCACTGTTTTCAAAATCTACACCATTATTAGGTTCACCAGTATCCCAGTTTCTGAAAGAGGAGTTACTCTGATCTGACCACTCCCATGAGTCTCTGAACAGACCGATCCAGACATCATTAGTAGATCTGTGAGTGTTATCATTGATGAACTTCTGAACCTGTTGATTCTCATCCTCGTTCCTCACACTGACCAGTTCAGTTTTATTCTGTCTGCAGAAACTCTGAGCGTCTCTCCAGTTCTTCTTCTCATTGACAAAGACGAGTCCTGTGCTCACTTTAAGACAATGAAATAAAAAAATAAATAAATATTCGCACGCTGCTTTATGGTTTGTATGTTAATAAACAGTGGAAGCATCAGAAACAGGTAACAGGACAAATGCATAGCAGTGTGCAGCGCTGTTGTTTTACCTATTGAGCACAAATAAAAGCCTGGCAATGCTTAATGTTCAGTTTTCTGATAAAATAATTCTCATATTAAAGTGTGGCAGTAAATTAAATTTAACAATCACATTAATACAAATAAAAAATACCAAAAGGGGCGCTTGATGCAAGTAAATGGTGGTCTAATAAAATTATGATTTCTATGCTGTCTATATGGCAGAATATATGATCATGTAGCATAGGTCATAGGCTTGTTTATAATATATATATATATATATATATATATATATATATATATTAGGGCTGTGCAAAAATGAATTGCGATTAATCGCATCCAAAATAAAAGTCTGTGTTTACATAATATATTTTTTTGTGCTGTGTATAATTATTTTGTATATATAAATACCTATGCATGCGTGTATATATTTAAGAATTATTTGCGCTTAAATTGCGCTTAAATTCTGTAAATTCTATATTATATAAATATAAATATTTTATATCTGAATAACACATTTTCTTAAATATATACATGCATGCATAGGTATTTATAAATACAAAATAATTATACACAGCACACACAAATATTTTATGTAAACACAGACTTTTATTTTGGATGCGATTAATCGCAATTCATTTTTGCACAGCCCTAATATATATACATATATATATATATATATATATATATATATATATATATATATATATATATATATATATATATAAAAGCTTTTTTTTTTGCTTTTTTAAAAGTAATCCTTAGATTTTACATTGCAGTATTTGGTGTATCTTTTATAAATGCGTGTTTATTGTGATTGTATGGAGCTGCACTTACTGTTGTTAGATGAACTGCAGATGAAAGTCAGGCTCTCCCCACATGACACATCATGCCATTCTCCATTTCTCATTATAGCACACATCTCGTCGTTATCTTCAGGTTGTCCAGTAGTCCAGTTCAGATAGAGCGCAGGTTCACCTGAAGACCACTGCCATTTATTATTACCAGTCTTCTTCAGCCCAATCCAGATATACAGATTATTATGTTCATCTTTCACAATCCTCTTCAGCTCGTCCATGTCGTTCATGTTGTCAACGGTGGCCAGATCTGTGTAATTCTCTCTGCAGATTCTCTGAGCTTCAGTCCAGGTCTTCTCCTCGTTTATAAAGTGATACCGACGCTGAACACATTCAGATACGGAGCAGAGAGCTGTGAAAGAGAGCGTTTGATTTAATGCTTTTCATAACAGGGTCAAACCTGATCAAACTATAAACCACAAACACACTCACCAATGAGAAGAAGAATCAAATATAGAGTTTGGTCCATTTCTGAGGAAAAAACACATTGACAAACTCAGAAATCACACATTTCCAGATTGATTTTGGAGTAAAATATGACAATTTCATTTAGTGTCAAAACAGCAGTATTAATTCAGTCTAATTGTCTTTGAAGAATTCTTACTTTAGAGGTCGTGTGTTTCTGTCCTTAATCTGATGTTTCTGTCTGCAGTTTTTAACTATGTGATTATTATATCTGCTCTCATCCCCACATCACATCATTTGTGTATGGTCCTAAAACTAATTTTCATATATTACTTCCTCCCCATGTGTGTTTGTCTACCTCCGTATGTCTATATTTGCATATTGACGTCTGTGTCAGTTAGTAATATATTAATATGAACCTTGTTCAAAAAATGATATGAACATTTACAGTTTACATTTGAACATTCACAACTAAACAGATATTGCTGGACTACATCCCCATTCATCTTGACATAAATGGCCGTTCAATTCTTGTGACCTTTGCAAATGTCACCATTTGTCTCAGTCCCGTTGGATGACGACTGATGGGGGTTCGTTTAGAAAGCCAACTTCGAGTACAATAGCTTGACACAATAGCTTGACAATTTAATTGACATTTTACATAAATATAGGGTACATATTCTTTTTACTTTTTTTAAATAGGAATTTCTTGGTAAAATATTTTATATTTTATTTAGCCTTTTCACGGACCACCTGCAGTACCCTCACGGACCACTAGTGGTCCGCGGACCACAGTTTGGGAATCGCTGTTGTAAACCATTCACAACTCAGCTGTCTGGCCAATCAGAGCAGAGTAGCTTGTGAAAAGGAGGGATTTATGCCTGGTTCAGATTACTCGATTTTAGCCCGATTTTGGCACAATCCGTTTGACGGAGGGTGTCGTGGGGATTCGTAGATGACAACGAGCGTCGGGACACAAGATTCGATTGTATCATCTCGTATAGTGTGTCATAGTGGGCGACAAACTACGTCGCGTCTGCGATGCTTCACCACATCACGACAAAAAGACTCGCATGTTTAATTTTTTTAACGGTCGTCCACAACCTATATTGACCAATAGGAACACAGAAGCTTTTCCGTACACAACTTTCAAAGATGGCGAAACGAAAGAGTGACGATGGTGCTAACGTTAAAACTATAACAACTATAACTCTTTGGAGGATTGACAGCCCATACCGTCCTCTTCGAAGAATCCAGGAACGTGTCCATTGTCGGGTTTTCTTTCTTTTCTTATTTTTTTCTGAACACAGGACAGCCAATTCAACACTCACCGCTTCATCCATTGCTTGTTTACATTCGTTTCCGGAAGTCACTTGCTACTAGTTTCGCCTTCTCGATGACATCACGCGTGCTTTTAAAGACGACATGGGACGATGACTGGTCAAGAAGCAACATGTAGTCTGACATTGGTCTTGTCCACGACACGACAAGATTTTAGGAGTCAAAATCGCGTAATCTGACACAGTGACTATCGTAAAAAATCCAGGGATTAGAGAGATAGATTCATCTGACGAGTAGTTTGAGAATCATTGAAAAATGTGGTGATGTGCAAATGAATATTAAGGGGAAAGGGGCAAGTAAACTGTTTATTTATGCATCTTTGATGCATCTAAATCAAGCGGGTAATCCATTAGCCGGAAGTTGAAGCCGCGCGGGTGCCGCCAATGTAGCAGAACTTCACCTGCTGTTAGCATCCCATTGACTCCCATTCATTTTGGCGTCACTTTGACAGCGAATAACTTTACATCTGAGGCGTCCAAAGACTTCATTTGTCCAGTATTTATTTCTAAAGAAATACCACAATGTATAAAAGGCTCCATTACTTTGTATCTTATGTTATGGCCCCGTAGAAAACGTTTTTGTAGAAAATAGGCTAACGATTGCGTCATAACCACAGGACTTTCTGTCGCACAAGATACCGTATAGACAGGAGGATTGCCATTGATTCATAGTGCCATTGAGTTCAGTTTAGAATCAAAAGGAGAATTCAAAACTGAATTCATAACAAATCAAAGCAGAGATCATGACAATATGAAAAAAAAAAGCATGAAGCATGAAAAAGCATCCCAGTTGGTCTTGACTGGCCTCCGTACCGGCGGTAAACCACAGATGGCTGATCTGAAAAAACAAAACAAAAACAGAGATAATGTGTGAGAAATGGTCATGGGTTTACAACATGAGGGTTACTGACACTAAAAATGATGGACAGAATTTTTATTCTTGGGTGAACTATCACTTTGATTGCCTGAATGTACAATTACGTAAGAGGTCCACTGAGTAACTGAAACTCAAACTTAAATCTGAAATAAAAAGCTTTTGTAGCATCACAAATGTTTTTACTGTCACTTTTCGTCACTTTAATGCATCATTGCTGAATAAAAGTGTTAATTTAATTAGTTACTGGCTGAACAATAGTGCTTTTATTTATTTCAGATAAATTAAATGCTGTTCTTTTGAACTTTCTATTCAAAGAATTCTGAAATGTTTCTTGATTCACAAAAGTGTTCCTAAAATAAAATGTAAGTGTTGAGCCCTTGCAAGTTATACATTACAATATGTTAATCACATAATGCAGCTGGTAGTCAAAACATATACAAAGCCAAAGATGCTCAGTGCTGTGGCTCTTGAAGAGACTTTGAGCTGTAGTTAGCTCCTGTTGACGCAGGGAAAACAGAGAGAGAAAGAAACAACATTATTTTTCCATCCAGTATTGTTGGCTAATTTGACTATGGGACTACAGTTTAACCAATAATTAACATAGAATTTCAAAAATATGTTGCAATATTTTTCTATTAATCTACATTGCTTTAAATTCATTACTACAGTATTTTAAGATGTCATATTTCTGTCCTGTGCCGAGTGAATCCAGAATGTAAATGTATTGGTCTAAGGATCATACACATTGACCAAAACTGTGTGATGACAAAGAAAGGATTTACTGTGTTTATCGGACTGTTCTTAAACAGAAAAGAAGAAAGAATGACATGGACATATTGGATGACATGGGGTGAGTAAATTATCAGCATTTTTTTTTTTTTTTAAGTGAATTACTCCTTTAAGGCAGACCCATGCACTATGGAAGTTCAATTAATGGATAAAATTCGGAGTCAATGTTATTTGACGGTTAAAGGGTCACTCCACCCATTTGCATTAAGTTTTGTATCTTTAGAAACCCAGTCATATTTTTGAATGGTCATGGTTTATTCCCTTATTTTCCCCTGAGATGGGAGAAAAAAGGATTTAAGGGTTTTACTTCCTGCTTATTATAACGTAAAAATCGTCATTTTGCGTCATAATAAGCAGGAAGTCATATTTTATTAAAATGTGTAGAGACTACAAACATTAGCTCATTATTATTCCAGGGTGTTGGACCCACTCACCCTACAGGCCTATTACAGATCAGTGGGCGGGGCTTCACTTACAGAAACTGAATCAATATCCGCCATCTTGATTGGAAGCTAAGCTAACAAGTGCTGTGGAGATATAAATGATAATGATGGAAGATACTAAAGATGATATGGAAGAAGAGGACTTTGAAAGTCTGCTACTCGAATCCGATGTTCGTGGCTATCTTTACGAGCAAGTGTGTGTTTTATAAATGTCACAACACAAAAATGCCGTTTGTAAATGAGTTTATTTACATTTATTACAGGTTGCAAGATACTTTATTTCTATTTCATTGAGACACATATAGATGCTCACAATCATATTTTAAACTAGTAATTACATGTAAATATAAGTAACTAAGTAAATATATGACTAGTGCAAAACACAGGAGTGAGGAGGAGAAAGAAAGCACACCACCAGAATACAGAGATCCCATAAAATCAACAGACTTGGGCTTTGCTTTTTTCTTTTAAATATTTACATCCTCCAATCATGATCTTCTACTTTCTATTTAACAGCAAGTATGTTTGGTAAAAATAATGTTTTTTTTTTTTTTTTTCAGAAGAGAATAAATGCAAATTCATAATCTACATTTTTGTAAAAGCCACAGATGAAAACTCATTTTAATGTCATGGGGTTTTTAAAGGGGGGTTGACTGCTTTTTTTCTTTGCATGATTGTGTTTATAGGGTGCAATATAACATGTATTCGTGGTTTTTCTTTTTTTAAAAGTCTTATTTTTCATAAACTTCACCTTTATTGTCAGCTGCGCTCTCCTCTGTCCTCGAACGAGCGGTTCACGATTCTATGAAACCACTCCCTCAGAAACACGCCGTGGGCTCAGATTGGTTAGTTTGGCCCGGTGTGCTGTGATTGGCTAAACAGTTGCTCACTTTGTCCGGAAGGTTAACGCCCATTCCCTTTACTGGCGAAACGGGCATGCCAAAGGTGGATACTATGCATAGACGGTGGATACACGTAAATAATGATGTCGAGACTGCAGAATCAGTACGAGAAAGCCGCAATGAATCGTGTCAAGCAGAACCTCACCACACACTCTTAAACATTTCTGAATGATAATTTGCCACATTTTTTAACCATATACACAATAGCATCTGACTGGCAATGATAGCTGACTGGCTACTAATGTTAAACACAAACAGCGTTGGCAAGTTTACGTTCTTGATCAAATCGGAAATAACGTCATAAAGCATATATGAAAAATAAATTTACAACATTAGTACTTATACAAAACTCAGGTCCATAATGTTTGTACGCGTTTGTCGTAGACACAAAGCCAGTGCTGGCATTTGAAACAAAATAAAATAAAAGGAATTATACATGCAAATACATTTAAAATGATGAAGTCTTAGCCTACTTACAGGTTGTGGTCCAACAACGGCTGCCTCTGGTTTTAAAGTTGGAACTGCTTCATGTTTTAGTATCAGTTTCTTGTTGAATCCGGTGTTGAACTCGTGGAGTTTCTGGAAGCTGTCTTCCGTAAAATGTGCAGCACAGAGAGCTAGATTACCATCGTCATTTTCAGGAACATAATGAAACATAAATTGTATCCATTGTTGACGAAGTACAGCATCCGTGGGAAGCTCGAACACAGAAGACCTGACAGCTGCGTGAACACAACACTCGACGAGTTGACGTGCCTCAGAAATATGGCCATGCCCTTTTCTCCTTATTCCGGAGGGAAGGGTTGATGCAAATGTGTGGGTTAGTGACGTACCATAACCCATCTGTAGTCCCAATCCAGTCGTTTTTGCAATATACTTCCTGATTTTTAAAAGACGATATCTCTGCATACACTGAACTTTCAGCGCTGCAACTTTGCAGATACTGTTCATGCACCAACAGCAACATTACACACTATTTAAAATCAAAAAAGTGAAATCGCAGTCACCCCCCCCCCCTTTAAAACATATAGTGCACATTAGTATTTGAAATGCCCAAAGAAAATTACACTGATAGTAAAAAGACTCGTGTGATTCTTTTAAATTCTAGAACTTATAAGCACATTATCTGATGTTTGCCAGCTAAAAAACATTTGAATAAGAACAACCCCAACATCTCCTTCACTCCTAATATCTGCTGCAGATGAAGTTGAGTTTATCGTCTTCAGGACGGCTGATCCAGCTCTGATCTCCTCTAGTCTGAACTGCTCCAGATCTCCCTGTACCCTGACAGTCCTCGTCTGTGCCGTTCCCTGAAGCCCAGTTCTTATAGCACACGATCTCTCCGCTCACCCAGTACCAGATGTCCAGAATACGGGAGTGACGTAAACCCAACCACACCGCCTCAGTAGACGCACGTTTAACCACATTCATCACCTCCTCCTGCATCTGGCCTGAATGAACCGAGACCAGATCCGTATAATTCTGTCTGCAGTATCTCAGAGCTTCAGTCCACGTCAGAGTCTCATTGATCAGAATCAGTTTATCTGGACACAAAACACACCACAAGCAAACACTAGAGAGAGACTGATCACAAACAACATGCAGAACACACACTGTGGAGGAATCTGTCATGTCAGACATGTAGCGTGAACTTTAAGAGTGTGTGTGTGTGTGTGTGTGTAACCCCTCCAACCGGGTCCAACTCGACCTGCTCCGAGCGGGTCTCGAACCCTGGTCTCCGGCGTGAGAGTCGGGCACTCTAACAAGGAGGCTAAAAACTGCAGCCTCTAGCATCTGTCGCTAGAGCCCTTATTGAGATCAGGGGAGTGAGGTTTACTCACACAGCAACTACTAGCTGGCCTCCGCCTCCGTTACGTGTGTGTGTGTGTGTGTGTGTGTGTGTGTGCGTGTGTGTGTGTGTGTGAAGATCTGCTCACCTTCATGACACACAAAAGGAAACTGGTGGTTGCAAGAGATGTCATGCCATTGACTCTGAGCGTTTGGTTTGATCACTGCGCAGTTTTCATTTCCTCCAACATTATTAGGTTCACCAGTATCCCAGTTTCTGAAAGAGGAGTCACTCTGATCTGACCACTGCCATGAGTCTCTGACTCTGAACAGACCGATCCAGACATCAGTAGATATGTGATTATGATTGATGAACTTCTGAATCTGTTGATTCTCATTCTGGTTCCTCACACTGACCAGATCAGTGTTATTCTGTCTGCAGAAACTCTGAGCGTCTCTCCAGTTCTTCATCTGATTGATAAAGGCGAGCCCTGTGCTCACTTTAAGAAAAAAAAATAAAAAAAAAATTAGTTTGTTCATTATTCTTACTGATAGACAACACCCCTCTTGCATTCAAATAGCATGTCAACTGTTCACTGATGAGGCTTTCTAATATCTTAGATAAAACGCAGAGCTTTGAGATGGGTTTGTAATTATTCATTATAGTGGGATCCCCCCTTTTAATAAAGCAGCGAAATATACGGTCATTTCTGTACTGTGCGAAGGAGAGTCGATACGGTATGACGCAATCGTTAGCCTATTTTTACAAAAACTGCTTCTACGGGGCCATAACGCAAGATACAAAGTAATGGAGCCTTTTATTCATTTCGTGTTTCTTTAGAAATAAATAATGGACAAACTGAGTTTTTGGACACCTCAGATGTAAAGTTATTCGCTGTCAAAGTGACGCCAAAATTAATGGGAGTCAATGGGATGCTAACAGCAGGTGAAGTTCTGCTATAATGGCGGCTCCCGCGAAGCTTCATCTTCCAGCTGATGGATTAAAACAGTCAGACACGCAAAGTGAATCACGCGACTGGACATGAGGTTTCTTTTTTTGTTGATCACGTGTTTCTCTGAAAACAATACACAGTCCTAAATGGAGCTTCACGAGAAATTGTGCTGCGAACTTGATGCACACTTTGAAGCTTCAGTGTCATAGAGACATGTTCATAGAGTGTCATGTTTATTGAGATTGAATGGAGCTGCACTTACTGTTGTTAGATGAACTACAGATGAAAGTCAGGCTGCTACTACATGGCCAATCATGCCATTCTCCATTTCTCATGAAGGCACACTCATCTCTGCCATCAGGTTGTCCAGATCCCCAGTTCAGATAGAGCGCAGGTCCACCTGAAGACCACTGCCATTTATCAACACCCGTCTTCTGCAGCCCAATCCAGATATTCTCAACACCTTTATCATTCACAGTCTTCTTCAGCTCGTTCATGTCGTTCATGTTGTCAACGGTGGCCAGATCTGTGTAATTCTCTCTGCAGAATATCTGAGCTTCAGTCCAGGTCTTCCTCACGTTTATAAAGTGATACCGACGCTGAACACATTCAGATACGGAGCAGAGAGCTGTGAAAGAGAGCGTTTGATTTAATGCTTTTCATAACAGGGTCAAACCTGATCAAACTATAAACCACAAACACACTCACCAATGAGAAGAAGAATCAAATATTGAGTTTGCTCCATTTCTGAGGAGACATGCATTTCTGACAGCAACATGAATGAATCATTAAGACAATATTAGCATCTGAAAGTGTAATTGTGTTTGAAGAATGAGCATGTTCTTACTTTAGAGGTCGTGTGTTTCTGTCCTGAGTCGGATGTTTCTGTTTGTAGATTTACACTACGTGATTATTATATCTGCTCTTATCCCTCATTCAGATCATCACATCATTTGTTTATTTCTCTATAACATATTTTCATATTTTCCTTCCCGCCTTATTTGTGTCAGTCTACCACTGTTTCTATATATTTGCATATTGACATCTACGTATATGTCAGTTAGTATTAGTCCTAACCTTAACCTTAATAAAAATTAAAAAAAAAAAAAGAACATTCACCGTTTACATTTGAACATTGACACCTAAACTGCTGCTTCAATCAATGATATTGCTAGACTGTATAACTCGTGATATATCCCTGATCATCTTGCATGTATCGGCCTGTCCACCAACACTTGCGATGTTTGCACTTCCCCATTTGTCTACTTACATTACATGTGTTCTGGTATTTGGCCCAAAGGATCAAGTGTGCGAAAAACATACAAGCTTACATGGCTTTATTTAGATTTTCAAAAATGCGTCCCAGAGACGAAATTTCCAGATTACCCTTTTAAATGCAAATATTGAATTTCAATTTAATTGAGTAATCTAATATATTTAATGACAAAAACGAAAGAAAAAAATATAATACATGTTAAAATGTTGACTTATAAATGTATGTTGCCTGGATGTGATGTTATATAGGCTTGTTTATACTTATATTAAGACTTTAATTGACCATGTTTCTTGTAGGCAGTTATAATTTTAAAAAGTCCCGTACAAATGATTCTGTCACTCGTCAAAACGACAAAAAACAGACCGTCCCATTGAACAACTCACGGGACACAGCTGGCAACAATTTGTTAATGTGACAATACATTTTGTTGGTGTCATTTTCCAAATAACCAATGGTGGAATGTGACGAAATACATTTACTCTGTATTTAAGTATACATTTGAAGAAGGCAACTTTAGATTATTATTCAACTCATGTATTACACATATATATTAGATTATGATATTAGATATTGTTTTAAGAAATATGAACAATATAACACTAATAAAACAAAATGTCTTCTAGCTCAGCTAGGGATAGGCAACGCCAGTCCTTGAGGTCGCTGTCCTGCTGAGTTCAGCTCATAGAACGGTTTTGCATGTTAAAATAATTAATGGTTTAATTTTTAAGTATGTGAGATGAATTAATTGAGTCAGTCCTGCAAACCTGTTGGTAGACAGTGGAAATACACACTCATCCCAGATGATGTCTGAGCCTGGGTTCTCCCAAGGTTTTTTTCTCCATTCTGTCCCTGATGGAGTTTTGGTTCATTGCCGCTGTTGCCTTGGCTTTTGGCTTGCTTAGTTGGAGACATTTCATATTTTACAATATTATTGATCTGTCTGCATTGACACCATCATATGAACTCACTTAACCTGGACTGAGACCAGTGGCGCAAAAAGTGGGTATGCGCTATATGCGGCGCATAGGGGCGCAGCACAATGGGGGGCGCCAAAGCGATGGTAAAAAAAAAAAAAAAAAAAAAAAAAATTATATATAGGCTATATTGTATTTCTAGATGTAGCTGCCGTTGTCCGTTTCTAAATCATTTCTGCATTCCTTCAATGTTATATAAAATTTTAGAGGACTAACAGCCAGGCTAGAGTAGGCGCCCTCATGGAGAAGGGGGGCGGGTAATATCGCGAGCGGGCGGGGGCGCCGTGAGCGCTGAGCGAGCAGGTACGAGTAGTTAGTTGTCGTCGAAAAAGATGGATAAAACAAAATGCTGTGGGGCTAAAAATAGAAAAAGAAAGAGAGAAAAGGAGATGGCATGTCAATTGATGCGACAGCAGCTAAATAACTGCATGCATTGCTGAAAGCCAACAGGTAGGATTTAAAATGTGACATCCAGGCATAGGCTATCTATATCTCGGTGGCCATCGGGACTACCGGGAGATTCCCGCTGGGCCGACGTGCTTTTCCTTTTTTAATTTATTTGTCTTAACGGCCCACAAAACTCATACATCGGCGGCCCATTTGTTTGTTTGTTGTTTGTTTTTGTTTTGTTTGCTTAATTGGCGGCGCTGTGCTGGTGTAATGCATTGGTCAAAAAAGTCAGCTTTAGTTTTTTTTTCTGACACACTGGCCCATGAAATATATCATTATGCGCAAGTATCTTTCAAGTACAGAAATTAGTGCAAAACTAATTATGAAAGTTTCCTTTATTTTTCAGTGCATTTGTTTTACAATAGCCTTAATGGCAATTACTATCATGGGATTAATATTATAACTATTATTATGTAGTAGTGTAATGTAGACAGACACTAACTAAAAGAGGTTCAAATTTTTCTTTGTTTAATTTGCACCCTGAATATGGGTTGGAGCTTTTAATTTTGAACTCTCAAAGTGCACCAGACTGCTGAATTTAACATTACAGAACACCAAATTTTCTTACGGGGGAGCATACCCCCGAACCCCCCTAGAGAAACAGAGGTCCACCTACCACAGTTTTACCTAAAATCCTGTGAGAAACACTGCTATTGCTTTTACAATGGAGCTTAGTTTCTTTAGGGGGGGGGGTGGGGGGGGTCATCAAGGTGGAGTAGCTATAGTTTAATTGTGTTAATAAACGACAATTTTGCACTTATTTTTTTCTGTTAGCTCTCATTTCTTCCTACTCAGTTATTACATAGCACACTTACATTACATTTATTTACATTTTTTTTTTTTGGGGGGGGGGGGGGCGCTAAAATTGTTGCTGCATACCCCTCTGAAACTGGGTAGTTGCGGCCCTGACTGAGACTATTTTCTTCTAAATCTCCTGTACAGAAACACTGTTGCATTATTTTCCTTGTATCTCTGTAAAGCTGCTTTGAAACACTCTGTGTTGTAAAAAGCTCTATATAAATAAAGGTTAAATGATTGACTGCTGGTTTAGAACAAATGTGTCTTTATTTCCTCCATCGAAATGGAGATTGTGATTGCTTGTGATTGGCTGGATTGTTTTCATTAAAACATTGTTGCATTTTTAAGAATTAAACATTTAAGAAAATTCTTTGCTTCATACTCCTGCTGTTTGTTTATAGAATTTGTTTATTATTATTTACATGGACATGTAAACACATTCTCATCACTGATTTGTTTAGATGTACATTTAGACTTTCATGGAGGACAATATTTACATATCTGACGTGAAACAAAAGCAGAAACAGTGTGTTATTGTTCTAGACATATTCCAGTGTTTCATTCAGTCTTACTCATCTGCTAGTTTTATTAAGTTACACTCCTTAACATTAGTTATTCTCAAGCTGTTATAGAAGCACATTTGTTATAGAAAAAGCAGTGAGGAACGATTATGTAGTGGATGATTATGACGTATTGATGATGACATGTTGTGGCCTGAGGCCTAAACCCTGAAGCCGGTTTTGGTGGCTAACAAGGTGTTTCAGTTTAGTTTGCACCAACCCTGGATTTTAGGCACTGTGAAAGTGGCTCGGCTTTTAGCGGTGTTCATCGCCATAGTCATGGTACCAACACACCGGATTGGTTTGGTTTTGTCAACTTTAAACTAATCCTGTAACCCTGAGTTTGCTCAACTACCATCATGGTACAGCCTCTGATTTACTGATCTAATCCAGTCTTTAATCAATTATCAAACATGTGTTTTATTGTTAACAGACTTAAATTCTACATTACCACCACTGTGAAACTACAACAACCAGGGATTTTAGACTTATCATTCATAAAAAATAAAAAAAAACACAAGACATCAAAAATCAGCACATGCATCTCAACAATGGTGACAATCAAACCAAGTAACAAACAAAAAACACACTCTGAACATCAAAAAACAGGAAAAATGAAAGCAAATAAACAAAATAGTCAGTCCATTCAGCTGCATCATTTATTCATGCTGCAGTGCATGCTGGGAGTTTTGTACCATGTCATGGCCGGCTCAGATCCGTGAAAAATGGAGGCAACGAGAACAAATGTGAATCAAAAAGTATTTATAAAAATAAAAAGTTTACAACTCATAACTAAATAAGAAAAACAGCAAAACTATTTTTGAGATTACTATGCTGATTTTTGATGTCTGATTGTTAACAATCATATTTTAAACTAGTAAGTACATGTAAGTATAAGTAACTAAGTAAATATATGACTAGTGCAAAACACGAGTGAGGAGAAGAAAGAAACCACACCACCAGAATATCGAGATCCCATGAAATCAACAGACTTGGGCTTTGCTTTTTCTTTTAAATATGTACATCCTCCAATCATGATCTTCTACTTTCTATTTAATGGTGAGTATGTTTGCTAAACATAATGAGTTGGGGTTTTTTTTCAGAAGAGAATAAATACAAATTCATAATCTACATTTTTGTAAAAGCCACACCGATGAAAACTCATTTTGATGTGATGGGGTCTTTAAAACATATAGTGCACATTAGTATTTGAAATGCCCAAAGAAAATTACATTGATAGTAAAAAGACTCATGTGATTCTTTTAAATTATAGAACTTATAAGCACAATATCTGATGATGTTTGCCAGCTAAAAAACATTTGAATAAGAACAACCCAAACATCCTTCACTCCTAATATCTGCTGCAGATGAAGTTGAGTTTATCGTGTTCAGGAAGGCTGATCCAGCGCTGATCTCCTCCAGTCTGAACTGCTCCAAATCTCACTGTACGCTCACAGTCCTCGTCTGTGCCGTTCCCTGAAGCCCAGTTCTGATAGCACACGGTGTCTCCGCTCACCCAGTACCAGATGTCCAGAATACGGGAGTGACGTAAACCCAACCACACCGCCTCAGTAGACGCACGTTTAACCACATTCATCACACGACGCTGCATCTGGACTGAATGAACCGAGACCAGATCCGTATAATTCTGTCTGCAGTATCTCAGAGCTTCAGTCCACGTCAGAGTCTCAGTGATCAGAATCAGTTTATCTGGACACAAAACACACCACAAGCAAACACTAGAGAGAGACTGATCAAAAACAACATGCAGAACACACACTGTGGAGGAATCTGTCATGTCACACATGTAGCGTGAACTTTAAGATATCTGGAGGTGATGGGTGGAGTGTGTGTGTGTGTGTGTGTGTGAGGATCTGCTCACCTTCGTGACACACAAAAGGAAATTGACGGTTGCAAGAGATGTCATACCATCGACTCTGAGCGTTTGGTCTGATCACTGTACAGTTTTCATTTCCTCCATCATTATTAGGTTCACCAGTATACCAGTATGTAAATGAGTAGTTACTCTGATCTGACCACTGCCATGAGTCTCTGAACAGACCGATCCAGATCTCTTCAGTAGATCTGTGATTATCATTGATGAACTTCTGAACCTGTTGACTCTCATTCTGGTTCCTCACACTGACCAGATCAATGTGTCTCTGTCTGCAGAAACTCTGAGCGCCTCTCCAGTTCTTCCTCTGATTGACAAAGACGAGTCCTGTGTTCACTTTAAGAAAATAAAATTTAAAAAAAATCAGTTTGTTCATTATTCTCACACTTCTTTACGGTTTGTATGTTAATAAGAGCACTGAAAGCTTCAGAAACTCGTGACATTTAAAGACTGATTCTACAGCTGCTGATATATTTAATATTTTAATATTTGCGACCTCTGATATATATTTAACCTCCTAAGACCCGAGTTTTGGTTGGAAAAGTCCAGAAAGTAAAATTACTGCCACATTTTTATTCCACCCACAGCAAAAACTCCAGTGTTAAATGAACTTTTCTGGGAGTTTCTTTGGATACAGACTCAAGAGTGTTAAAGTTAATGAGATAATTAAGTGAATAATTGAGTGATGATTGAGCATTATTGAAGACACCTGATGATAAACAGCAGAATCACTGAAGGAGAATGTCACATTTTTAAAGTCACCATTATGGAGATCAGTGTCTGCTTTAGTTGGGCTCTTGACTCTTAAATCATTAATTTTAGATGTTGTTTGGCTGCTGTACATGAGTTATAACAGCCAGATGAACAACAAGGAAAGCTGATGCGCTGAGGTTGGTTATGTTTTGACATAATCATCATTTGTCAGGAAACTCATTTGTAGAGTTTAACCTTTTTGATTACACAGTATAACATTTTCAAAAATGTAAATATTATCCAAAAAATTTCTTAAAAGCTGTTTTATTCTAAATTTTTTTTTGGGGACACACAGACATCAAGAATCAGCCTGTGATTCTCAACAATGGTGACAATTATAAAGCATGTTGCAGTTCATTCTGGGTGCCACCAATCAAAACTCATTCATGGCTCCCATCATGCATTGCGGTATGAATAAATAATGATCTGAATTGTCTTAGTAATTTCCTTTCCCTATTTGAATATTCTGCTTGTAACCATTGTTGAGATTCATACACTGAATCTTGATGTCTGTGCGTGCCTAAAAGAAAGATTTTTATTTTTCAGAACAACGTTTAAGATATCATTTGGTTTATTTTGAAAAATCTGGATCTAATGTTATAAAATCACAGTGATGCTGTTATGATCATTGTACTTTTAATCAGAGAGTAGGCTTTAAATGAGTTCAGTGATTCAGATCTAATGATGATTATGTCCTAACATGATCTTGAACATCTGATCTGATCTCTTTGTTCATCCTGCTGTTAAAACAGCTAAACAAAATCTTTAGTAAAGCATTTAAAGGTCACCTGCCCAACTAAAGCAAACACTGATCACCATAACGGTGACTAAAAATATAGATTTTTTTCTCAGGTGTTTTCAATAATATCCCAATCATCACTCAATTATTCACTTAATTATCTCATTAACTTTAACACTCTTGAGTCTGGATCCAAAGAAACTCCCAGTAAAGTTCATTTAACACTGGAGTTTTTGCTGTGGGTGGAATAAACTTATGGCAGGACTTTTACTTTCTGACCCCTGGACACACAACCAATAATGTGATGTCCACGTATGTGGACAACCAGGTCTTAGGAGGATATAGCAATTGTAAGTCGCTTTGGATAAAAGCGTCAGCTAAATTAATAAAGAAGTCAATGGGTTTTTGAATGGAGTTTCGGTTAAATGGCGGAAATAAGGTCTGTGGTGAACACAAGCTCAAGACACTTTCAGGTTTTTTCTTTTTCTTTTTTCTATGATATAAAATACATCAATATTACCCCATTCGGGATTTTTTTAAAGCGTTATTAGTCTGGTAAATGGTAAATGTAAATGGGACTCCAGACACTGTCGGAGATTAAACGTCATCTCGCCAAACAGGTAAAATCAGTCGACTTTACTGCCTCAGGATGCTTACTACTCTTATAAACTACTCTTCATCAAACATTCTGGGAAAATGTTCATAGATAAAAACTGAGAGAGTTGTTGGAAGATTTAGTGATGATAGCTTTGAATATGTGGGTAATTATCTTAATGGACAAAATGTGCTAGTATCATACACTTTTGTTAATTACAGAGCTTTTTTTTTTTCGATAATCCAAGAGCCCCCCCTATAAAAATCCTATTGTTTGTTTTTTTTTCTCTCGAGGAAACCAGTGTGATGTGAACTGTCGGTTGGCCTACAAAGTGACATCATCCTTGCACCACTGTATGAGCAAACCAGTCCTTTGCTGCAATCTACTGGTTAGTGGGCATTTCATGACGTCATTTTCCTTATAAAGGTCTTTGTTTTCAGCTGCACTTACTGTTGTTAGATGAATTGCAGATGAAACTCCTCCTGTTACTACATGGCCTATCATGCCATTTTCCATTTTTCATCACAGCACACTCATCTTTTCCATCAGGTTGTGTACGTTCCCAGTTCAGATAGAGCGCAGGTCCACCTGAAGACCACTGCCATTTCCTCTGCAGCCCAATCCAGATAAACTGATCACCTCTATCATGCACACTCTTCTTCAGCTCGTTCATGTCGTTCATGTTGTCAACGGTGGCCAGATCTGTGTAATTCTCTCTGCAGAATATCTGAGCTTCAGTCCAGGTCTTCCTCACGTTTATAAAGTGATACCGACGCTGAACACATTCAGATACGGAGCAGAGAGCTGTGAAAGAGAGCGTTTGATTTAATGCTTTTCATAACAGGGTCAAACCTGATCAAACTATAAACCACAAACACACTCACCAATGAGAAGAAGAATCAAATATAGAGTTTGGTCCATTTCTGAGGAGAAAAAAACACATTGACAAACTCAGAAATCAAACATTCCCAGATTCATTTTGGAGTAAAATATGACAATTTCACTTAGTATTTTAACAGCAGTATTAATTAACTGTACATAATCATTGAGATAATATTGAATCTGAAAGTGTAATTGTGTTTGAAGAATGAACATGTTCTTACTTCAGAGGTCGTGTGTTTCTGTCCTGAGTCTGATGTTTCTGTCTGCAGATTTGCACTACGTGATTATTATATCTGCTCTCATCCCTCATTCAGATCAAAACATCATTTGTTTATTTCTCTGAAAACCCCTATTTCCAATTTGACTTCCTCCTTATTTGTGTCTGTCTACCACTGTTTCTATATATTTGCATATTGGCATCTATGTCAGTTAGTATTAGTCCTGACCTTAACCTTAATAAAAAAAAGTAATATGAACATTCATAATTTATATTTGAACATTGACAACTAAACCGCTGCTTCAATCAATGATATTGCTGGACTGTATAACTCGTGATATATCCCTGATCATCTTCGGCCTGTCCACCAACACTTGTGATGTTTGCGCTTCCCCATTTGTCTACTTGCATTAAATGTTTTCTGGTGTTTGGCTCAAAGGATCAAGTGTGAGTAAAACATGGCTTACATGGCTTTATTTAGATTTTCAAAGCTTTGCATTTTAAAAGAAACCTCTAAAAGTCTGTTCAGACTGGACTTACTGGTAATGATGGTTCTTCTAAATAAGTGATAAAAAAAGCAGTTGCAAATATTGTACAATTTAAAAAATAAACATACTTGCGTGCACATATACTCTCTAGTGGCCAAGACTGCAAGTGTGGGTATTTGGACAGGCCAAAACTGTGTCCCAATTCAGGGGCTGCATTCCCCCGTCCTTCGAAGTGCGCATCCGACGCTGCCTTCAAAGGACGGGCCGAGACTCGTATAAAATGTGGAAAGTATAGCCGATTGTGGCGCCGCGACGAAGGATGTCCCAAGTCTAAGGTCCTTAGAAGGCTCATCAGGATACAGGATACATCAGAAGGATCCTTCGCAGCCTTGCCTAACCCAGAATTCATTGCGTGCCGGAGACGAAATTTCCTGGCCTGCATGTGATGTAATATAGGCTGGTTTATACTCTTTAGACTTTATTATACATTAATTGACATTTTCATAATTTTAAAAAGTCCCGTACAAATGTTTCTGCCGCTCGTCGACGACAAAAACCAGACCGCCCCATTGAACAACTCACAGGACACAGCTGGCAACAATTTGTTAATGTGACAATACATTTTGTTGGTGTCATTTTCCAAATAACCAACGGTGGAATGTGACGAAATACATTTACTCTGTATTTAAGTATACATTTGAAGAAGGCAACTTTAGGTTGTTATTCGACTCATGTATTACACATGGATATTAGATATTGTTTTTAAAAATATGAGCAATATAACACTAATAAAACAAAATATGTCTTCTAGCTCAGCTAGGGATAGGCAACGCCAGTCCTTGAGGTCGCTGTCCTGCTGAGTTCAGCTCATAGAACGGTTTGCATGTTAAAATAATTAATGGTTTAATTTTTAAGTATGTGAGATGAATTAATTGAGTCAGTCCTGCAAACCTGTTGGTAGACAGTGGAAATACACACTCATCCCAGATGATGTCTGAGCCTGGGTTCTCCCAAGGTTTATTTCTCCATGATGGAGTTTTGGTTCATTGCCGCTGTTGCCTTGGCTTTTGGCTTGCTTAGTTGGGGACATTTCATATTCTACAATATTATTGATCTCTCTGCATTGACACCATCATATGAACTCACTAAACCTGGACTGAGACTATTTTCTTCTAGATCTGCTGTACAGAAACAAACTTTGTTGCATTATTTTTCCTGTTCTTTCTATAAAGCTGCTTTGAAACACTCTGTATTGTAAAAAGCTCTATATAAATAAAGGTCAGTTGATTGACTGCTGGTTCAGAACAAATGCATCTTTATTTCCTTCATCTAAATACTTGATTGTGATTGGCTGAAATGTTTTCATTAAAAAATTGTTGCATTTTTAAGAAATAAGCATTTAAGAAAATTCTTTGTTTCATACTCCTGCTGTTTACTGTTTGTTTATAGAACTAGAACATGTAAACACAGTCTCATCACTCATTTGTTTAGATCCACATTTAGACGTTCATGGAGGACAATATTTACATATCTGACGTGAAACAGAAGCAGAAACAGTGTGTTATTGTTCTAGACATATTCCAATGTTTCATTCAGTCTTACTCATCTGCTAGTTTTATTAAGTTACACTCCTTAACATTTGTTATTCTCTGGCTGTTATAAAGCACATTTGTTATAGAAAAAAAAAACAGTGAGAAAATGATTATGTAGATGATTATGACGTATTGATGATGGCATGTAGTGGCCTGAGGCCTAAACCCTGAAGCCGGTTTTGGTGGCTAACAAGGTGTTTCAGTTTAGTTTGCACCAACCCTGGATTTTCTGCACTGTGAAAGTGGCTCGGCTTTTAGCGGTGTTCATCGCCATAGTCATGGTACCAACACACCGGATTGGTTTTGTCAACTTTAACTGATCAAATCCAGTCTTTAATCAGTTATCAAACATGTGTTATATTGTTAACACACTTAAATTCTATATTACCACCACTGTGAAACAACAACAACAACGAGGGATTTAAAGCTTGTCATTCACATATACTAATTCACAGACATCAAAAATCAGTACATGAATCTCAACAATGGTGACAATCAAACCAACTAACACAAAAATACACATTCTGAACGTCACGAAACAGGAAAAATGTTGTTGTTTTTAAGTTGTACAAACTGAGTGCAGCCAGACAGGTATGCATAGCATCAGTTTTATCTAAAATCTTTGAGATAAATAGCATTTCAGTAAGCATTCCTATTTAGAAAAAAATAATACCTTCTGGAGGCAGGTGCAACTGGGCTAGCTAGCATGTTAGCTTAGCACACCATCAATACACAACAATTTATGAGATTAAATCCATGTTTGTGCTCCAAACTTACTTTTATAACATAAGTCGGGTGTTTTAAATAATCTTCTGTGATCTAGTTTGGCTTCAGATAAAAAAAATCAGACAGAAAATATATATTATTTATTGTATTGTGCACAATGAAAAAATCTATATCGATTAGCATTACATTACAAATATAATGTATTATTATGAAAATACCTGCCATGGCTTGAAGAACAAAGGTAACTCAAATATCATTTCAGTCATGTTTAAAACATCTTTAGCTGTGTTTACGTCAGGCAGTTCATTACTCAATTAATCACTTCAGTGCTCATTTTAACACTCATGTGTGTGGACTCAGACTCTGAGGAGAGTTCATTTAACACATGATAACCACACAGCAATGGTACCCCAGACAGTTGTGTCGTGCGAGACGAATGGTATCAGTTATTGATGTTTCATTGTAGTGAACTTATTTTTCCCTCAATACCTTCATACCCGCAGTATTATGGATTTGCGGTCTGTGGAGGCCGTTTCTTGGTCTCTGAATAAGGGGTTTGCCTCGGTCTGTAACATCGGTAAGTCTCTCTCGGATGCAGATGTAGATCCTGTTAATTCTCTGTGCATGCTCCTGCCTAACTTTGTAAATAAAACATAATTTCACTAGTTCACACTTACATAAAATTATAGGTAGAAAGTTTAATGCGCATTTGGCGAGCTTGGAATTCGTCCCGAACCCGTAGTAGCTGTATTAAAAACATTAAAGTCTAATCCTATAATTAATTTAAAAAAAAAATCAACAATAATTCATCTCAATCATCTCAATAATTAAATTGAATATTTTCCTCATAGCGTGCAGGCCTACCTCATGCCCTTTGGGTCTGGTCTTACCAATTAAGAGCATTACAGTGCAGTACAAGAAATTAATTAAAATCCACTTTAAAATAAATTTGCATTTAAATAGGCTTAATTTCACTGAGAAAATTTTGCCAGTCACACATTATACACATTCCCCTTTGAGCATGACCTTGATAAAAAAAATAGTCATATGAAACTAATGTTGTTCAATTTTATTGGATTTCAAATTACAGAGTATTACAATTACATGAAAGTCAATCAGTTGCATCTCAATCTGCAGTTATTTATTTAATTTATTTAAAATTATTCATTGTGAGGTCCATGTTGATCTTCACCTTCCCTTACCAGGAGCGCAACACCTCTGCTGTTTGAATGCAAGTTTGGAACCAATTATCTCAGGTGTTTGTGATTATAAATGCAACAGTCATTATTTCATTTTGATTAAACTCTAGTAATCCTCAACACCATAGTTGTCTTCTCCCTGGTTCTCGTCCTCGCTGCTATATTGATAAATTTCTTCTGCCAGCTCTTCTCCCAGCTCTTCTCCCACCTCTTCTGCAAATCGCTGAACAGAATCATTTCCCGTACGGTTGTTCTTGTATTGATTCCCAGGCACCTGGTGAGGTTGACGTGCAGTTGGGTGATACTGATTCCCAGGCACCTGGCGAGGTTGATACGCAGTTGGGTGATACTGAGGAGGTTGACGCTCAGTTGGGTGATACTGATTCCCAGGCACCTGGCGATGTTGACGCACAGTGGGGTGATAATGATTCCCAGAAGGGTGGTAAGGTTGATGCCCAGCCATTATTCAGTATAATTTTTAAGTTTCTAGTGAAGTTAGCTGTAAGCACACACATGCACAAGATAAAATTCATTAGAAATATTTGCGAAGTTGGTCATTGTACAGTAAATATAAATTTCATTTTTATAAACATTGATCTTCATAGAAAGAAATGTGAACACCTACCTTCTTTTCCCCCCTCTCTGAATCCTGTGAGGTTTCTTTTTGAGTGGAAAAGCTGTCTTTTATACAAGCAGGATACTTTACTTTTGAAAAGACACTCCCACAAACATCCAAAACTGGTTCACTCAAAAAAAAAAAAAAAAAAATGAATGATGAAGGTTGTGCACTTTTACATAATATATTTAGATTTCTTAT